TTCTCTTCTACTTTTTGGAGTACTTTAAGAAGGATGGACATTGGCTATTCCTTAAATGTTTGGTAGAATTGAGCTGTGAAGCCACCTGGTCATGGCTTCTTGTTTGGAGTTTTTTTATTTCCAATTAAATTTCATTACTGGTAATTGGTCTGTTCAGATTTTCTGTTTCTCCTTGGGTCAGTCTTGGAAGGTTGTATTTTTCTAGCAAGTTGTCCATTTCATCTAGGTTGTCTAATTTATAGGCATATGATTTTTCATAGAATTCTCTAATAATTCTTTGTATTTTCTGCTATCTGTTGTGACTATTCCTTTTTGTTTCTGATTTTGTTTATTTGGGTACTCTTCTTTTCTTGAGAAGTTGATTAGGGGCATGTTTATTATATTTATTTTCTCAAAAACCTGCTCTTAGTTACATTGATTTTTTTCTCTTGTTGTATTCTTCTCTATTTTATTTATTTCTGTTTGATCTTTATTATGTCCCTCCTACCAACTTTGGGTTTCCTTTATTCTTCTACTAGCTCTTTAATTGTGAGTTTTATAAGTTTATTTTGGGATGGTTCTTGTTTCTTGAGGTAGGCCTGTATTGCTATTTACATCCCTCTTAGACTTGCTTTTGCAGCATCCCACATATTTTGGATTACTGTATTTTTGTTTTCATTTGTCTCCATGTATTGATTCATTTCTTCTTTGGTTTGTTCATTGATTCACTGATTATTTAGAAGTGTGTTGTTTAGCCTCATATGTTTAGGGACTTTTTTCTTTTCTTTGTGTAACTTATCTCTGGTTTCCTACCATTGTGATCTGAAAAGCTGCTTCATACAATTTCAGTCTTTTTTAATTCATTGATGTTTTTGTGCTCTAGTATCTGATCTGTTCTGGAAAACTTTTTGTGTACACTTGAGAAAAATGTGTATCCTGCTGCTTTTGTGTGGGATGCTCTGTAGATATGTTAAGTCCATCAGATGTAATGTGCTATGCTCGGTGCTTTCTTTTCCTTATTTATTTTCTGTCTGGTTGATCTGTCTATTGATGTAAGTGGTGTGTTGATGTATCCTAATATAAATGAGTTCCACTACAGTTTCCCCTTTAATTCTGTAAGTATTTGTTTTACATATTTAGGTTCTACTATGTCAGATGCACAGATACTTATAATGCTATATTCTCTTATTGGACTGACCCCTTTATCATGATGTATTGCCCTTCTTTTTCTCATTACTTTGTTTTGAAGTCTATGTTGCCTGATATAAATACTACTACTCCTGCTTTTTCTCTCCCTATTATATGCATGAAATATCTTTGTCCATCCCCTCGCTTTCAGTCTATGTACATCTTTGGTTCTGAAATTAGTCTCTTGTAGGCAGCATATAGGTGGGTCTTGTTTCTTTATACATTCTGTCCCCCTGTGTGTTTTGATTAGTGCATTCAGTCCATTTACATTTAAGGTAATTGTTGATAGGTATGTACTTATTTTCATTTCATTAATTGTTTTCTGGTTCTTTTTATAGTTCCTCTCTGTTCCTTTCTTCCTTTCTTATTCTTTTCTCTTGTGATTTGATGGTTTTTTTAGTGTTGTGTTTGGATTTCTCTTTTTGAATTTTTTTGTATTTATTATAGTCTCTAAGTTTCTGGTTACCATAAGGTTCATGGATAGCTTCCTAACTATATAGCAGTCTATATTAAGCTGATGCTTGTTCTGTTTCCAACACAATCTAAAAGTACTTCCTTATTTTTCATCTTCCTCCTCCACTCTTTAAGTAATAGATGTCATAATTTGCATTTTTTGGTGTGTCACTTAACTGATTTTGTGTATAGTTGGTTTTACTACTTTGTTTTGTTTTGTTTGCTTTAATTTCTTACCTGCAACTACCTTTACTCTGGGTTTATTTTCAATGACGACAATTACTTAGGCTTAAGAACATTTCCATCTACAGAATCTTTAACAAATCCTCTAATGCCTGTTTAGTGGTTGTAAATTCCATCAGCCTTCATTTATCTAGGAAATTTTTAATTTCTCCTTCAAATGTGAATGATAATCCTCTGGGTAGAGGATTCTTGGTTGAAGGTCCTTCTGTTTCAATACATAAAATATTTCATGCCTTCTAGCCTGTAAAGTTTCTGCTGAGAAGTCTACTGATTGCCTGATGGTGTTTCTGTCTGCCAGCAGTGGCCTATCAGTCAGCTGTGGGTGGCAGTTCACCTCAGCCAGTCTCTTGTGAACAGAGCAACAGTTCTTCTGCTTGCATTGTTGAGGGTGGGCTGCCCTCTGCCTGCCCTGAAGAGATGGTGCCATCGCTGGTCTACCAGGGTGCATGGAGTGGTCATTCGGCTCTGGGGAATGTGGTTGCAGAGGGGTAAGCAGCACTATCCTGGACCTTCCTAAAGGAGGAAGGAGCACTCAGAGCTGGCTCCAACACGTGCCTCCCTTGCCTCCCTAGTTAGGCTGGGATAGGGCCTAGAAATATGAAAAAGCCTCCTCCCTATGCCTGCCAGGCAGCAAAGTCTGATGCTGCTGGGCTGAGCGGGCAGGCAGGTGCACAGGGAAGCACCTCAGGGCTGAGCTGCCAGTGAGGGGGACGGAGCATTTGGGGCTCCCACAAGTGCCTGAACTGTTAGTCCCAGGGAGGCTGGGAAGGTGTGATCCACCTGCCCTTTCGCCTGTGGAGGGAGCTCTGTCCAACCCTCGCCTCTCTGGTACTCCTTCCACTGATGGCAAATCATTCAAACAGCCACTTATGTTTTGGGTCTCAGAGGGACTGCCAGAGTGCGCCTGTCCTCCACAAGTGGCTGGAGTCTCAGACTCCCAGAGTGCTCCAACTGTCCCTGGTGTCTAGCCCTGGTAATCACCAAAACCCAATGTAATGTGGACTAACGTACCTGGAGCAGATCTCCAGGGCCAGGTGTGCAGAGTTCCTGAGGGCCTATCCTCTCCCTGCTCCACTCCTCTTCTTCCCACCTTTGGGCTAGGATGGGGGAAGGGCTGGGCTCCTGACTGATTGTGGAGATTGATTGTGATTCTGGCACTGTACCCTTCTCTGTGTGGTCTTCTCTTCTTCACGGAGTATAGGTGGTCTGCTCTGGGGTCTCTCAGGTCATTAGTTGTGTTTGTTGTAGTTGTTGCCTTTATGTGTGGAGGGTAGGAGGGTTCTGCCTTGCTTTCCTATTCCATCTTTTTCCCCCCCTCCATCTCCTCTTTCTAGGTAGTGAGCAGGCCAACATTCAAGACTGAGGAGGTGGGCCCAATGGATTGAGCCACAGAAAATTATTCTAAAGCCATAAATCCTAATGGGATTTTCCTGTTGTGTTGCAAACTGCTTTAAGCCAGTGACACCTTTTTTCCTTCCAGTTTCTCCCTTTGGAATGGAAATACATATCCTATGCCTGTCTCACCACTCTATCTTAAAGTAGATAACTTGCGTTCAAGGTTTCACAGATCCACAAATGGAGAGGATTTTTGCCCCTGGATGGGCCATACCTAATTTAGGTGATATTTAGAGGAGATGTTGGACTTAGAGTTGCTGCTAAAATAAATTAAGACTTTAGTGACTATTGGAATGGGTGAATGCATTTTTGTATGTGGGAAGAACATCAGTGAGAGGGGACCAAGGGGCAGACTGTCAGTGGTTGATTTGTGTCCCAGAAAAGGGTATATTAAATGCTCAGCCCCAGTGCCTCACAGTGTGACCTTATTTAGATATAGCCAAGTGAGGTCATGCTGTTATAGAGTAGGCCTCTAATTCAATATGAATGGTGTCTTTATAAGAAGATGACCATGTGAAGACAGAGACATGCCAGGAGAATTCAATACGGCAATGAAAACAAAGATTGGAATCATGCAGCCACCAGCCAAGAAGCACCAAAATTGCCTGGGCAGAGTCCAGGAAGGACTCCTCTACAGATTTCAGAAGGAGCATGGCCCTGCCAACTCCTCGATCTCAGATTTATAGCCTCCAAGACTGTGAGACAATAAATTTCTGTTGTCTTAAGCCATGCAGTTTGTGGTACCTTGTTACAGCAGACCTAGAAAACTCAGACAGACTGACATCCCATGCCGTTCTCTGCATCACTAGCCCCCTCATCCTACTCGTGCTCTGAATCCCCCTACCAGACCACCCTTCCACGTAAACAGCCTCACTGATCTGCTTGGGCTTTGACACTCCAGAATGGGCTGCTCACAAATATGGGTGCCTTCCTCTCTCCGCCTGAGTTCTGACTCATTACATCAAACCAGCTCCAGTATGAACTCATCTTGACTAAGTACATCTGCAACAACCCTATTTCCATATTCTGCTACATTCTAAGGTACTGGGGATTAGGACTTCCAACATATCTTTTTGGAGAATACAGTTCAACTAATACTATCATCCAAGATCATACCTTTATCACTGAAATGTTGGTGAGCTTGTTAAAATTCATTTTATGGCCCAGAATATGGTCTATCTTTGCCTGTATTCCATGGCACTTGAAAAGAATATGTATTTTGCTGCTGTCAGGTGGAGTGTTGTGTAAAAGGCAATTGGGTTAAGCTGGTTGACAGTGTAGTTCAGTTCTATGCCCTTTACTGATTGTCTGTCAATTACTGAGAAAGGAGTGTTGAACTCCCCACATGTAATTGTGGATGTATCTATTGCTTGTCTCCTGTCTATCAGATTCTGCTTTTGTGCGAGTGAGGAGAGAAAGGAAGACGGATTGCCGCCCCAGCCCCGGGCCCCTGGGAGCTGATGGGTGACCATGTATCTGTATCTCGGAAACTGCCGCAAGGCTGCCAAAGCCGCCGCCACTCACGCAGCCGCCTGCAGCCTAACGGCAGGCACGGAGCAGTGCAACAACGTGAGTGGAGCTAGTAGGCCGTCCTTGCCCTCCTCCTGAGCTGTGGGCGGGGTCTTGGGAGTGCATGCCGACGGAAGGGGCGGGGGCCTCAGCAGAGCTCAGGAGAAAGACAGGGTTCCTGGGCGACCAAGCTTCTGACTCCCTGGCTCCGTTCCGATCAGACGGTAGTAGTAGCCAGAGCTGCCTCTGGCAAGGATTGGTCGTGGGGAGGACCGGAGGTAGGGCTGGTGCCCCGGGAAAGCTGGGAGGCCTTTCGGCTTGTCGGCAGAGAGGTTCTTTGAACCTAGAGTGTGTGATTCTTTGGTTTACTTGGAGATACGTATTAGCCCATTGAAGGGTGAGTAGACTGGTCTCAACTCAAAGGGTAATTCTAGGGGGCAAACAGACAAACTTCTAATTGTATTTGACAGAGCTCACAAAAAAACCCACTCCAGAGGTCGGAGCAGCTGATCTATTGGATCTTACTCTTGTGATCAAACTGCCTGTTATCCAAGGAAGCAATAATGTGTTCTACACTACAAATATAAGTGAAAAGGTAAACTAAGTTTTGATAGTGCCAAAATGATTTTCTTTAGCCTTTTCAGTTTCCTGTTCAACTGGAAACACTACTATGATTTTGCTTCGGAGTCAGCTTCAATTTCGCACACCAAGTGAAGTTAAATGAGTTGAAGTATTTAGTGTCTGAACCTCAATATAATGATAGATGGTCCTGTGATATGCCTCAGCCACCTAATTCAGCCTTATCTCTAACCCAGAAAGACTGGGGTCTTTTCTGCCTAGCCACACAAAATAATACTAATTCCTACTTCTGTGCCTTTGCCCATCTGGATCCAGAAACCTGGTGATGCCGGGACTCTTGTTCACGAAGCCGAAGAATGAGCTTCACAAACACTCAAGGTAGGAGAGCAAGGTACAGGCTTTTATTTAGAGATAAAGTGAAAGGCCAGAGCTCCCGGCTCACGCCAGGAGGGGACAAGAGAGTCCATGGTGGTGTGTTGTCTAGGGGTTTTATAGGCAGTTGAGGATATTTGGGAACGTGAAAAAAAGCTTAGGGGTGTGGACTTGTTAAGTGGTCCTTGAATATTAAAAATAGAGATTTCCTGCCTTGATTTCTTTCTGGGATACTGGCATCTTGGCGTGGGAGCATATCAAAAGGCTGCCTGCCTGAGCCCCAAGGTGGGCTGACTGTATTTTCTATTTGCGAAAGAATCCTGCCTCTTAAACGTCCTGGGTGTTAAAGTGCAATCTTTTATGATGGAATTCTTCCTGCCTTTTACCATGTCCTCTACAGCTGGGTCTGCATGCGAAGTTAATTGCTCAGTGTGCAAATTCACCTCCTCAGATCTGAAGGAGGAAAGACAGCACATAGGCCTGGGCCTTTTAGTATGCCAAAGTGAATCTTACACATGGTTACAAATGATTAGCATAATAAAACACGTGCTACTCTTCTTTATCTGGGGAACATTAACTGATCTCACTGAAGAATGATTCTAGAGCTTAATGTTCAACATAGAGTTTTAGTGGGGGGAGTGGTTCTTTGCATGTAGTTACATTGCTCTGACTGCAGATATCTAGCCCTGCCCCCTCCGGAGGCCCTCACCCTACTCTGACTACATCAAGGGTCCCTGTCTCACTGGCATGTACTCTCCTCCTCTCCTTCCTGACCTTTGGTTTGAGTCATCTCTGAAAAGCTGTTATATGAAGCCTTTCCCAAGTGTCACAACCCCCAATTATCTCATCTTCCCTTAAAATTTAATTGACCTTGGTCTGCACACTCTCACTCAGCACTGAGTCAGTACTGCTAGGGACTTAGTGTACAGCACTCATACAGTTATACATTTTAAGTGCTCTACCTAACACTCCTTTGCTGTCCTTAGCTTCCAGGCCAAGCCTGAAGGAAGTGCAGAGCTTTGTGGTTGTGTGCTTTGATCACTATAGCAAAGGGTTCTACAGGAATTATTCTGACATCCTTATCCTTCCACTATCTAGAGTGTCATCAAGGATGAGTAAGGGCTCCTTTAGTATTTCTGATACTTGTCTAATATATATATTTTTTTAATGTTTATTACTGGAAAACAATATAACTTATCCTTTGAAAACCAATATGTTCTACCAAATATATGCCAACCTCACAGAAATTGACTGAGTCACACTCCCATAAATTAGTTTTCCTTAAACATACTCAAAACCTGTTCTACTACAAGTAATAATACTTGTTAGTGTGTAACTTCAGCCCTCTCTATTGGTTTCTTTCTCAAATATCTTCTATTTGCCATATTGCTTTTCAGTACCTCTGTTATTCATGTGTTATCTACCTATAATTTCCAGATTTTTTCCATATTTAATTACACCGATTCTTTTCTTTATTATATTGATTCCTCCAAAATGTATGCATTTAATCATGATCAGACACTACACTCAATTCTTTTGAAGGCTAACTTTGTGGGATCCTTTGTGTTTTAGCAGGATCTCTTCAAGGAACTAAGACTTTATATTTATACCTTTAGTTTTTTTTTTTTTAACTCATGATCACCTTATGAGGTAAAGCCAAGATTTATCTAAGGTCACAGGTAGACAGTACCAGAATTCGGACCAGAACCCCTGTCTCCTGACTCTTAGGCCATGCTCCTTCACCTCACCTTGCTGCTTCCTGAACTTCAGACCACTTTAGCAGAGCATATAGAAACAGGGAATTTAAAGGTCTTTCAGATTGTTTTGAATGCAAGTGGAAGCAAAATTGTAGCATTCTATCTTATTTTCAATAATATTAAAATGTAACATAGCTGCCTGTCCTTAGCTATGCATCAGTCCAAACCTGACAACTGATCTCATATTCCAACATTTTGATATTAAACTTATTCTCAAGTAATTTATCTATAAATTAATTTGCTCGTTAATGTACCATACTTGGGTAGCAACTGTTTGAAAAGCTCCTTAAATTGTTTTTATGGTAACGTTAATAATAAATACTTTACCAATTAACTTAGACATTTTGATTTCAAGAAAAGATAGCCTGTTAGGTGTAAAGGACAATTTGCATACTTTTAAAAATCTACCCTATGGTCTTCCACTGGTGATGATATAATAGTGATAGTGATATAATAGTGATGATTAACAGAGACACTTTTCAGATCAGGGAATCCAATTATTTCAATTGATGATAGAAAGCTTACTCTTGCCTTAACAAATGGATTTTTTTTTCTTTCTTGATCGGTTTGGTCAAAAGTCGACATCTAAAAGGAGGAATGCCATAATCAATACACTAATTGCTGCATTGTATCAATTGCATCACTTTTGGTTGTTTCCTTCTAGGAAAGATATGGGCTTCCTGTCTAGTTTCACTGTAAATTAAATCATTGCCCAAAAGGATATCTTTCTTTGCCTTTTTTCAAGGAAACATTGGTGGTCAGCGAGTTCAGATTCCTGAGATAGGTCCCTTGGGAGAGAGAGACAAGAGGCTGGCATCAATCAAGTGGTCAGAAACTTACAAAGGAAGCTCTTAAGTGGGAAAAGAAAGCTGGAACCCTATTGTGCCCATGCTCTCTGCCCCTCTACCCACATATGAAGCATCCTACCTATCTTGCAGGAACTCTTAGGGCCACATCTCAATGTTCAGGTATTGGGCTGAGGTTGAGGCTACCACCTCCAGCCTAAAGACAGGTCTGGTTTAAAAAAAAGAGAGAGAGAGAGAGGAATAGAAAGGCAGTTAGACTTACCCAGATCAGTCCATTGTCTGTAATCATTCACTTCAGATTCTGCTGGCATGTTTTATTTTCAATGAATAGCTTAATCATTTCAAGAAATTGAGGTTTAAAAGTGTGATTTCATTCAATTTTACATATGTAATACTACTGAACTTCTCTGTTGACAGTTTTATCAACCTTCTTATGATTTTAACCTGTCTGATCATTACTGTCGACTTTTGGAAACCAGCTATAAAAGCCTACACACTCCACGTTCAAAAACATACTGTAAGTGAAGAAACACTGTCCAGAGATTGAAAGGGGTGGCTACATCACCAGCAGCAATAAAGTGGGTTGAATCCTATTTCCTGTTAACCAGGAAAAAACTAGGGACTTGTTAGACACTTGTTTCTTTACCTCACTGGGACCCTGTATCAACTTTAGTTGACCAATAAAGGAAACCTAATCGAAAACTCAATTTTAATTACTCAGTATTTCAGTAAAGAGAAATCAGGCAGCTGTTGTTTCTAAATAACTGTGTGTTCCCACTTGACCTTTCTGTTTTGATAACAGCAAAAGATAGGCACCATATGATTTGAGTGTGTAAAGATATAAACACGCACACATTTATTTATCTATGTATTTTTCTCCCAGCTGTCTTGTAGTGCCTTTCCTCTGGCTCTAAAAGTAATGATGTCACTGCATATGTCAAGGAATATTTCCTATACCCTTTGAGAAGACTAGAGAGAATGTGGAAACCTAGCACAATACAGCTTGATAGAATAAATCCTTTGGGAGTTTAAACATCATTGTAGTGGTGTTTTAATAACAAATTTGTTGGGGAAATATAAATTCCTGATTATGATGTAAACCATATTATTGAAATAATGTTACTTAGATAGAAATTTCCTATTGATACAGCAACGTTAGAGAGCTACTACCTTCCAAAGCATTGCCCAAATGTGCGATTATCAGCCTTGATCCAAAACTTGTTACTAAAATGAATGTTTTATGACTGTTCTCTGGAGAGATTTACGATTGTAACAACATTTTATTTACATTTTGGTTTTTGTTTTTATATGTCATCTGTACCTTGAAGGAATTAAATAAGTATAGGGAGTATCTGACCAGTATAAAATTAGGCTTTGAAAGAAACTATGTAAGAGAACAAGTAAGTTAAATACCAAAATTTGTTTTATTTGGGGCCTGTAAGAAACTGTTTATGTAGGGTTTGGAAGAAAGGTTTAGTCCTCTGCAGAATTTTTTCTTGTAATATTTTGACCTAGAAATATTTAGGTAACAAGATCTCTAGAGATCTGTAAGAGATAAAAATGAGACCTTTACTTTTCATTTACAGAGAGAAATTTTCACTTATCTGAAAGGGAGCCACTCTAGACCTAAATGCAGGTTAAGAGAATTAACCATTTGTAAAGTTGCCAAGTTTACCAGAAAGTTACTAAGCGCTCAACATAAGAAGGCATATCTGAGGATGGGTGTATTTCTAGCCAAGAGCAAAACGTTCTTTTTTTCTCCTATCAGAAAACAATTGAAACAAGAAAATAAGTTGTTTGACACCAAGACAGGCTATGACAATTGTGAGAATGCATATTTCCAACAATGGCTATTACAGAAAAGTAGACAGGCAGCTTCAGATCAAGAGCTGTTAATCAAGCACAGGTACGACCAAAGTTCATTTGTGGATACATTGTGGACCCCAGAAAGGTGTAAAAGGACTAGAAAAAACTGAAAGCAGAATGGAAAAAGTATTAGACAGTATTCAACCCCCTAGAGTTTTCAATGTAGAGAGAAAATAAAGGAGATTAAGAGGTAAAGGACTGGGAACCTTGGTACCAAGGCTAGGGAGGAGAATTTCTACTGAAAAACTGGAGTTACTAGGAGCCCAAGAGGTAAGCCAAACGGATATGTGAAGGAGAAATCCAAAGAAAAGTCCCTGAGCTTGGATAACCCAAGCCCATAGTAACAGAGGGAAAGAAGGTGTTTTTATCATGTTTCAAACTTAAGTTTAAGGAAATGACTGCAAGGCCAAAAAGGGAGAGTGGCTATAACTTGATCTTATGCTGATATAAACAGGTGATCCTCAACCAACTGTAATGTTCATTGAGTTATTACTCACACACATTCAGTGTTACCATGCAGAAGCCAAGTGTATACCCTGGAGACAAAGGGATGAGTTATAGTTTTTCTCTTTCTCCTTTACCAAGGGTGAGAGCCAGGTCCCCATCACTGGACTCTTACATTCCATGGATTAATGCCGTGATACGCCAGAATACACATTGATCTACCAGTGTCCCCGAGTGGCAGTCTGCGGACCTATCTGTACATGAGAGCTCATACAAGGATTTGACAATTACAAAGAAGCCAGTACCCACGTACTTTTAAAGGAAGTTCAAATCTACTTCTCTTTTGAAGTCAGTCCTTTAGTTGATTTCAGCAGTCTTTGAAAACTCGTGTTCCCAAAACTCCTCTGAGTTATGAACAATCTCTGTGTAAAATGCTTTTAATCACTCTGTTCCACATTTTGCCACTGCCCCGGCCGCAATAACAGAGAGTCCAGTAAAACGAGTGCAGCATGGTGAGGTGGTGGATCAGGTTAGGTCCCTTAAAAACTCTGTTTCCTGTAATTCAGAAAATAAAAAGCAGCCCAGATGGTGGTTTGGGAATATGAAAATAGATAATATCCCCGTGAGGGAAACACTTAGTTTACCTTTACTTATGTTTGCACTTTCACTTAGATATTTAGACTTGATTAGTAGGGAATTAAGGAAGGTTGACCACATGGCACAAAAACAGACCAAACTCTGAATAAAGGAAGAAAGATGACATTATGACCACATTGGAAGAAAACTTTGTCTCCGTAGACAAGCTGAACAGGTGAGAGTCACCAAACTTTAAATACTGATGTGGAAATTGTGTATGGTTGTTTTATTTGTAAACATTTTTAGCAGTCCCACCATATTACCTGAAGTTATTTCAGGTGTTAAAAAGGAAATTGCTACTAAAAATACTACTTTAAAAACATAATAAACCACTACTAAGCATTAATCACTATTATAATCCACAAGCTTTTACTTAACATAATGGGATTTATTCCACAAATTATATGTCCATTGCATAACAGTCACACCTCATCTGCTCTTATAGTTTTAGAATTTAACTCTAATGAAAAATAATTATGCCTGCATTCTCTCAAAATTCAGACAAGGCTATTTATTTAGTTTCTCTGTCAAAATGCATTTAAAGGCAACGAATTACATATGAGATAACCCCCAAGTCCATAAGGGAAAACCCTCCTGCCAGAATCCTTTTAGGTCCATCTTTGGAGCCAGGTTTTATGTTTGAATTAACTTTCCAATAGCAGAATAATTTCTTGCTTTTGCCATTCCATTGCATCCACCAACATATTCCCAATACAAAGCAGTAAATTTAAGCCCATTCTAAAGCCGTACAAGATTTTCATTATGGTTGACCTGATTTCTTTGAGGCCCTTGATTTGATCTAATTTGCTTATTGACAAAATATATATTTTTTTAAAGCTGTGAAAGAGATCCCCTGCTAACTAGTATAACATTGTGCTCCTTAGGAATGGAAGACGAAGGAAATATTACTTCGGGCAAAGATTGAAGAAGAAAAATAAGAGTTGAGGAACAACGTAAAAAAATCAGAGAAATAGCTAACCAGAAGGTAGAGTGAGCTTTTAACATAAACAATAGGGGGCACAAGGAAAATCTGGAGGTGATGGAAATGTTTACTTTGATTGTGGTGATGGTTTCATGAATTTATACATATGTCAAAACTGAACAAATGATATATTTAAATATGTATGGCTTATTGTACTTCAGCTATACTTCAGTAAAGTTGTTTAAAAATTATGTGATTTCTCTTTCCTTTTCTTTTAGGACCAGCTCATTACTCTCAGGAGTTTTATGAAGATTTCTGCCAAACATTCATCAACCTTGTTACCTCCTCATCGTGACATACAGAGCAACACAACAGAACAAAAGGTACAAAAGGTACTCATGCTTTGTATTGATCATTACTTTATCTGGTTAACTTTTATTAATACGAGCTGTCCCCTTCACTGGCATGGTGCTGAGCAGTCAGAGATAATGGGGTCCTACAAGGTCTGGACCCTCTCCCTTGCAGATAGTTCTGGGTCAGCTTCACCTTAAATGTACCATGTAGCTTAGCAGAAACTAACTGGTGATGATGATGGCTAATGTTTATTGAGAACCTGTTGTGGGCCAGGCCCTTTGCTAAGCTAGAAGGAAGGGAAGAGGGGAAAGGTAGGTGACACAGGATACAAAAATGGGAAAGACATCATCATTGCTCACGGGAACTTACTGTCCAGGGATCAGACACACACAAGCAAAGGTCGTTACAGTAATGTGAGAGGAGAGTTCTGATTTGTACAAAATGTGGTGGGAGCCCAGAAGATTTAGAGACTAGTCCTGCCTACAGAGGTCTAATAAGGCTTTATTAAAGGAGGGCTAATTGAGTTAGGTGTTGAAATGTGAGTGGGAAGTTTCTAGATGAATAGATGTGAGAATATAGCGAGGCAGTATTGCAGACAGATGTTAAAAGTGTTAAGTGAAAGCATGGAAATGCAAGTCAGAAAAAGCAGGGCAGTGGGGGGCTGAGCCTGAAGAGACAGGCTGAAGTCAGAGCTTTATATTCCTTGCTGAATTACGAGTTTAGCCGCTCAATAGTAGGAAGCCATTGCAAGGTTTTGAGTAGGGATGTGAAATAAGAATGATTTGGGTTTTAAAAGGATAGTCTGGTTGCAGTGTGTGAGATAGATACATAAAGAGTAGAGATTAGAGGTAAGATAGTTTTGAATCTACTGGGGCAGTCCAGATAAAAATGATAGGGGCCCAAGCTAAGGCAGTGGCAATGAGGGTGAACCAGAGGCCACAGATTTAAGATATTTCAGAGTCAGATTATGTCAAGATTTGGTGACTCAGTAGATGTATGGTTCCAGAGAGAGTGAGATGACAATGATGATTTACTTTTTGTGTATAGGTTTTCTTGAAGTGGGATACCTTTTGTCTGTGCTCCTATAGTGTTCAGGCTTACTTCTATATCAGAACTCATTATACTGTATCATACTTGTCTTTTCTGCCAGATGATAAACTCCTTGAGGTCAAGAATTATATCTTATTTTGATTTCAATCAATGTGCTCAGTATGCATTAGATTAGACTGGATTGGCCTTATCTGAAATAAATGGAACAACTCTAAGAT